TGCTGACATGAGGCATGTGCATGGGGATGTGAACGGGGTACTGGGCCTCTCTGTACTATCTTCCCAACTCTACTGTAGGCCTAAAAAACTTGATTTTTAAAAGATGATTCTGGAACAAATACAGTGTAGCAAAAGGCTGAAGTTTGATGGAGTTGGAGCAGGGAGGGTGGGGAGGTGGAGGGAGGGAGACCCACTTTCATGAAGGCCTTGGTCAGGAAGGCATTTTGGGTCATCTTGGCAGCTAACACCTGTAATCCCAGCACTTCGGGAGGCTGAAGTGGGAGGATCACTTGAGGCCAGGAGCTGGAAACCAGCCTGGGCAACATAGCAAGACCCTATCTCTATAAAATAAAATAAAATTAGCTAGACCTGGTGGCAGGCACTTGTAGTCCCAGCTACTTAGGAGGTTGAGGCAGGAGGATCCCTTGAGCCTAGGAGTTGTTCAAAGCTACAGTGAGCTATGATGGTGACACTACACTCCAGCCTGAGTGACAGAGCAAGACTCTCTCATTAAAAAAAAAAAAAGGAGGCATTTTGGGGAGGACCCTTTGGCTGCCCAGGCCCCAGCTTGGAGGAGAGCACCTTCAGAGGACCTGAGCCACACCCTCTGCTCCCACTCCTTCCAGGAGCGCCTCTCTGAAACCACAAATGTCCTTCCGTGCTAGCCACACTGGCTTCTGTAGAGGGGAGACACTACCTCTCAAGGAGGCAGATGCTAGGCCTCAGGGTCCCCATGACAGCCAAAGCCCAGACCTCTGCCCCCCGCACCTCTCCCACCCCTACACTGCCCACGTAACCCACAGGAAGCCCCAGCTCCTTGGCCTGCCCAGGGAATTCCTTACTGGCCCCCTCCCTGCCTCTCGGTTTCCTGTGTGGAAGTGGGGCCTGGATCCTGCCTTGGCAGACACAATGTCAGGAGGGAGAAACAGCCCTGAGCTTCCTGTTTGAGGGAAAGAGCCCAGCCACCCGCTCCAGGGCTCCCCAGCTGGGGAGGGGCAGCAGAGCAGGCTGGATCTGCATCCCAGGGCCCAGGGAGGCTAGGGAGCCACCACAGAGCAGGGGAATCCTCAGACTCCCCCAGGGCCATTAGGCAGTGGTTCTAACCTTCCCAATGCCTCGACCCTTTAATACATTTCCTCATGTTGTGGTGACCCCCAACCATAAAATTATTTTCGGTTCTATCAACAAAAATAATTTTATGGTTAGGGGTCACCACAACATGAGGAACTCTATTAAAGGGTCGTGGCATTAGGAAGGTTGAGAACCACGGCCTTAAGAGGGTGAGCCAGGGGCCACTTCCAGGGAGCCCAGGCACTCTTCATGCACATGAGGCAGCCAGGCTGGCCCTAGGGATAGACCCAGTTGAGGACAGGCACTAAGCTGTGACCACACTGTAACAATGGCAGAGGAAGAAACCAAGGCTCAAAGATACTCAGAGGCTACAGAGCCTCCCCCACCCCCACCAGAACGTGCAGGCATTGCCATTTCTTGGGGCATCATGTGGGGCTCCCCAGGCCACCCTGTCTAGCTGCAGGGGCCCACAGCCCAGCAAGAGCCCCATAGAGACTGTTGGAGAGACCTCACTCCCATCTCCCAGGCAGTCTCTCAGGGACCAGTGTCCAGGGGACAGACATCCCTGAGATAGAGCAGGACCAGGTACACAGGAAGGGAGGCGGCTCAGGCTGCAGTTCAGGTCCCAGGATGCAGCTCGCTGCCTGCAGGACTCCCTAGGTCCTCACTACCACTGTCCCCAGACTGCTCTGCCCTACTAAGCCTGCCCAGCCACCACCACTGCACCATTATTGCACCAGGCTCCCATCACCTCCTATGCCATGGCACACAGGGGACCTCTGAGGGTGAAGTACTCACTCTCAAAGCTCCAGGCCCCACCCCAGGCACCCAAGACCCCCAGCTGGGGTCACCTTGACCCTTTGCCAGAACAGGAGGATTCTGAATCCAGAGTGGAGCGGCTCTGCTCCCTTCCTCCCTTGCCGATCAATCCCTGGCAAAGGGAAGCCCCACACCCCTAGCCAGGAGAGCAGCCTCATGGGGGCACGAGGGAGCCAGACTGTGACCCACCAACCTCTCCCCTCACTAGACAAGCCAGGCATAGCCCCTGTCCCTGCCTGCCTGTGTGGCCCCCAGTGCCAGTGCTGGGTGGGCAGGGTAGGCAGAGCAGCCCTGGACTTGGGAGAGAGCCAGACAGGCACCTCACCCAGGGGCCAGCCTAGTTGGTCATGCGTCCTTTAGGTCCCTGCCCTCACACACCTCCTGCCACCCAGCCCCTCAGTCAGCAGTCAGCAACTCCCCTAGGCAGCACTCCTACCCCATGCTAGGCTGATCTGACCCTGCGCTAGGAACTCCACCTCCTGCTCCCCACACTCCACCTCTGCCCTCTTCGGAAGAGAGAGAGCACCGAGTGGACACAAGTAACCGCTGGGTCCCCCTGCATGGACCCCTTGCTGGCTGAGATTTGGGTCTAGTCAGAGAGCTGGGTCCTGGGTGGCTGCAGCCATCTCATCCATAAAGTGGGAGCCCTGGCTGGGTTCCCAGCCTATAACAACAAGGTGGGGACTTTGATGTCCCAGATGAAAGGCCACCCTAGCCCGGCCCCAGGACAGTGGATTCCCATCCAGAAGAGTAAGCACCACCCTCTGAGAACCTGGCTGGGGCTGTAGGAAGTGACCAACGCCTGGCCACACTGTAGGCCAGCCCTGCCTGGGCCACAGAGGCCACAGCATGAGGTGGGGTGACAGTGAGGGTCAGGGCACAAGTGGCTCCTGGCAAGAAGCAGGCTCTGAACCCCTCAAATGACCAAGGGATGGAGGAGGAAGCAGGGTGCTCTCTGTGTAAGGAAGGGACACAGCTCACCCTCATCTGGGGGGACAGTGCAGAGCCTGCAGGAGCCAAAGCCACACACTGGGCAGTGGCCCAGCCCTCCAGGGTAGGCTCCCCAGCCACTGCCACCCCACCTGGGCCCAGCACTGCCCCAGGCCCTGAGGATGGGGTACCCTGACCCATCCAGACCCCAGCAGTGCCCCAGCCCCAGCAAACAGGGTGCCTGGCTGGTACTTCTGTGCAGAAAGCAGGGGTCCCCGTCTGCTGCACCAAGTTTACAGGGCCCTGGGCCGGGGGGCTCCAAGAGAGCAGGGTCCTGGGGGGACCACCCTTGCCCCAGCCCAGGCTCCACCACACCTGCCCTGACTTGACACACACACACCCCCACACACAGAGGCCCCAGATTAGTGACAGAAACCAGTAGCTTGGGCGTCACTGGCTGGTGAGGAATAGCCATGCCCTCCCTAGAAGTCTGTGTTCTACTGGGACCCAGACCTAGCCTCAAAATAGAAAACGGGGAGTCAGGACCCAAGCTGCCTCTTGCCTGGCCAGCTGCAATAGCAGGTGGTCCCACTTCTATATGGAGGCCTGGGTGTGGACCACTCTGTGGCCAAACCCACAGGGGCCACATGGCCACTCGAAGGGCTGGGTCTGATCTGGGCCAGCATACGGGCCTAGCTCTGCAGATGGGTACACAGCTCTAGCATGCTGTGTATCCAGGACCTGCTTCTGCCCAGCTGCAGTCCTCTTTGAGAGGCAGTAATGCATTTGTTCAATCATTTCTTCTTCAACTAGTCCCCTAGTCACCCCTGGGGCTGGGACCCAGCCCTGTGCCATGCAGAGGAATAATAATGACTTGGCTGCCCTGCCCCGAGGGTCCCACCAAGGCTGGGAAACAGGACAAGACCGCACAATGTGGTCTGGTGCAGGGCCCGTGCTGACCGCCTGCAGCCAGGGAAGGGGCACCTGGCTGAGCAGGCATTGGAAGGCCCCTCCCAGGGGGTGCCAGGCTACAGAGGCCCTGTTGCTGTGGGTCTGTTTGGTGGGGAGTACAGCACAGTGGGGTGTCAGGGTCAGGACCAAGGTCTGAGTATGGGGGAGCAGCCTGAGGCCTGCAGAGGTGGGGCTTTGGCATGGGGACAGAGAAACAGGTTTAGGGGAAAGCTGATTGGCTCAGCTGTGAACAGGCAGTATGTGAGGTTCACAGAACCCCAAGAAAGCAGGCCACCAAGGTGGGCAAGAAGGTGTGTGTGCCTCAGGTGAGATGGTGTGCTCAGAGGGGCAGCCCTCCTCCGAAGGGCCTGGGGGCTATGAGCACACTGAGAGCAGGACATAGCCAGCCCCAATGTACCCAGGACTAGTCCCAGTCTGAGCCCCATGCTTGCAGCTGGGGGTCCTGAGCCTCAGTGTACATCCAATCACTTGTGGCCCAGAAGGCAGGCAGGAAGCAAAGGGGACAAGCCTCCCCATCACCCTTTCCTCGATTTCCCCAGATAACATAACCCAGTACCAAGGGAGCCAGGAGCCCAGCAGAAAAGTCCCAAGTACCAGCCCAGTCCCAAGCTGGGCCCCTCCCGGGGAGTGTCAAGAAGAAAGCGGTGAAGAAGTCAGGGAGGAGGGGCAGTCACAAGTTCCACCTCCCTCCACCCTCCCAAAGGCCTTGCCACAGGGGCGGAGAGTTCTGACACAGACCCTTGGAGGGCAGCAAGCAGCGAGAGAGCCCCAGTGAGCGCAGCGGCTGTGTGACAAGTGTGCATCTTTTATTCACAGGTGAGACCCACTATGCAATGTCATCTACACAGGGCTTGGATTCAGACAGTCACAACCAGAGAGCGCCAGCCTGTCGTGGGTGACGTCATAAACATCGGCAGGCTCAGCCCTCATCTGTGCTTGGCAAGAAGCACCTCTCAAGGAGGCCCACTCTCCCTAGGGACCCCCAGAGAGAGCTGCCTCCCACAGTGGGGAGGGCTGGCCCGAGGGGCACCTTCTGTAGAAAACCATAAAAACATAGATCATTTGTCTTCAAATTCCCACAGCAAATCCTGCATTTATAGCCAAAATGATACAAAAATATGAACCTTACAGAAAGAAGCTTTACAAAACCCTTATTCCCCCATCTTTGTTGGCGGTGGTGGTTTGTTTTATTTTTTTGCTTGTGGTTTTGGTAAAAATTCCTGCCGTGGAAGAGGCAGCATGGGACTGTGGCTCAGCCCTGTTAGCTGCGCTTGGTGTCCTCGGCACAGAGCAGGGTCCTTCAGGAAGGGAAAGCACCTGGGTCGGCCATCCCACCCTCAAGACCCCACCTGCACAATCTGTGCTGGGAATCCACATGCCCACCCCGGGCTGTGCCCAAAGGCCAATCCCATGTCCTGGAAGAGCCGGCAGGCCTGTCCTGAGACACACCTCAGGCTGCAGAGAAGGCAAGCTATACACATACACAAGCCAGCTCAGCCTTAGCCCAAGCTGCCGGCCCTAGCATGTGGTCTGCTGGTGTCTTGAGTCCTTAGCACCAAATGCAAAAAGGAGAAAAATCCAAAACAAGGTCAAAGGCACTTGCGTTGCTGCTGGTGGCAACTGTCTTCACACGCTGTCTGCTCCATCGCCCAGGCCAGCCCTCCCACCCACGCTCACCTCCTCTCAGAGACCCCATCCTGTGTCCTCACAGCCCCGTGTCCTCCTCCGGCAACCCCAACACATCCGCGCTCCATCTCATGTCCTGCCCTGGCACCCGCTGCACATCCCCTCCCCTGTGTCCACTGCATAGCCTCATACGTCCACCTCCTGTGGCCCCAGGACTGCAGCAGTGGCAGCAATGCTGATGTCAAAGCAGGTGACCATCATGACATGGGCCTTGCACAGGTTCACGCACTGTTCCAGGGCCACTGTGGCTCGCTCCAGGGCCACCAGGTACTCCACTGACTCGGGGTCCAGCTCCGGGTCCACCTCAACTGGGTAGAGAGGACAACAGGCACTGAGTCAGGCCCAGGGTGGGGGCAGGAAGGGCATTTGGGCCCAGGGGCCCAGGGCCCCTCCCCCCAATGTCCCCCACAGGGCATGTGAGCACAGCCACTGGGGTTCAGAGAGCAGAGAGGTGCCTGAGGGCACATGGGCACTCACACTGCTCCAGCCAGCGGCCGGGCTCCACCATCAGCCGGCCCTGGGTCTCAGCCAGCTCCTGGCACAGGTGCTCATGCTTGGCCCGTGCCTCCCGCAGCCGTTGCTGCCTGCGCTCTGCCAGACGCAGCCTTGTGCTGCCACATGTGGGGCTCTGGGTGGGCAGTGGAGGGGCTCAGGCCAGAGGACAGGCATCGCCCCAGGGCCACCCAGCTCCTACCATGGCGCCCACCTCCCCCAAATGCTGGTGCCCGCCTGGATCCTGGCACGGCTCTGGGACCCCCCCCCAAACAGGCAGGACTCCAGGGGACAGCAGCAGTGGCCTCAGGACCCTCCAGCCAGCCACCCACTGCCCAGGGGAAACTTAGGAGACCACTGGGCTCAGGCTGGACAGGGCTGGCTCTCACCTGCACATCCTGCAAGGGCTGTGAACAAGAGAAGGCAGGTTCAGAGGTTGCCCGGCCATAGCCCTTCCCACAGCCTTGCAAGCTGTCCCATGGCCCGTGCTGCCCACACTGCCACCTGGAGCTCAGCATCTGCCCTGAGCCCACCACCAGCCTGACCTGGGCTGGGTCCTCCCGCGGGGTTGGGCGTGGCCGCTGCAGGCGCTCCACATCGTCGATTTCATACACCTTGATCTCGAAGGGCTCCTTGAGTGAGCTGGCCAGGGGCAGGGGCAAGTCCACCCACTGCCCGGGGAGGCTGGGCTTGCGGCCCAGGGCAGCAGCATCCGGCAGCGGGGCTGGGATCAGCCGCCGCCGCTGCAGACCTGAAACAGAGCCAGTGCTGGGCAAGCATCGGGCTGGGAGGAGCCAGGCCCAGGCCCCAACTGGGATCATTTAGGAGTCCAGCCAGGACCACCCCGCCTGCCCCGCCAGGTCAGTTATGCCCCGAGGAGCAAAGGGACATGGAAGCTGCCTCTACTGCCTAGGGGAGTCTGCGTCTCACTCCCCAAACAAGCAGCCCTTCTTCGGAAACAGCCCTCCTGTCCCTGGAACTCAGTCTCTGGAGCCATGCCAGGCCCTCTCTCCTGGACAGTGACACCAATAACAGTAGGAGAGGTCAGCCTTCCCCTGGAGGGAGCCCCGACATCCTAGTTGGCCATGCCAAGCCCAATTCCCAAGACCGCACTGGTCTCACTGCTCTCACTGCCCCACTGCTAGGCTCAGGGCCACTTCTCCAGCCTGACCTTTGCAGTCCCATCCCCAATGGCAGTCCTGTCAGGGTTCCTCCCAGCTCCTCAGTGGCCTGGCTGAGCAAGTGCTCGGGGCTGCCCTGTGCTCGCTCTGCACAGCAGACAGGGCACTGCTGCCCTGGACGCCTTCACGCATCCTAGAGGGCAGTGCATGTCTGTGTGCTTGGGAGTCCAAACTGACAAGGGCCTGTGCCTCCAGGCTCTGTCCCCCAGTGCCTTGCCTATCAGCTCTATACACTGTAGAGGCCTATGCACAACATAAGGCCATTGCCTCGCCCACCTGTGGCCCTCTTCTTGGGGGACTTGAGGCTGCGGCAGCGGGCGCCCGGGGAGGCAGCCCCGCTCTCACTCATGGAGTCCGGGGCAGAGGAGGCGCTTCCAGTGGCCTCACTGTCACGCATCATGCTCTCATAGCCGCTGCTGCCACCACTGTGGTAGAAGAGGGCTGTGCGGCCCATGGCAGGTGGAAGCTCCCCGCTCAGCACACTGCTGTTGTCGCTGCCGTGGCCGCTGCTGTAGCGCTGTGGCCTCCGTGGTGCTGTCACCTTGCTGTAGGGGGAGGGCAGGGCTGGGCCCACTGGCGGCCGCTCCTCGCCCGTGTTTACACCGCTGTCATTGCCACTGTCCGAGTCGGCTGCGCCCCAAAAGGGACAGCCTCTGCCGGGGGCTCCGCTGGCTGCCAGCTCATTGACACGGCTGTGGGCAGCCCGGAGTGCCTGCCTGGTGCCCATAATGGTGCCACGACAAGCCTTAGCGCCAATACCTGGCCCAGCCCGTGGGGCTGCCCTGGCACCTGTCCCAGGCCCACTGGGGGCTTTGCCTGCCACAGAGCCCGGTGGCTTCACTGAACCTCCCAGAGCTCGTGACCCACCGGCCACTAGGCTACGGCCCTTGGCCCCACTAGGCAGGGGCTTAGGGGCTCCCACACCTTTGGCTGGGTTGCTCCTACAGGCAGGGGTCAACCCAGGCATGGGACTGGCAGGCGGCACCCCCAACCTGGGCACAGCCCGGGCCGGCCGTCCAGCAGCTTCCCTGACCTTGCTGCCACCGTGCGCCAGACCCTCATGCCGTTCTAGAGATGGGTGGCCAGTGGAACGGTGTACTACCTCCACCTTGCTGGCTCGGGCCTTCAGGCTGGATGTGGCCCTGGGGACGGAGTGGTCAATCCGGCCACTGGGCCTGGCCTCCTCCTCTCCACGGAAAACAGCAGCAGCCCCAACTCGCATCAGGCCCACAGCCTGCGTAGGGGCTAGGGCTGAGCCGCTCTTATGCTCCAGGCTGGACTTCCTCACTGGCGGGGCTGGGGGGGCCGTCCCACTGGGCCTCGGGAAGAAGCCCCCCTTGGGAGCCACACTCTTCTTGCCGGTGGGGGAGGCCTTCAGGCTTCCTGAGCAGGCCCCTGCCTCAGCCAGAACATCCCCACAGGACCCACCAGGTGTAGTCACGCCCAATGTGGTGGCTCCCCTCCGCAGTGGCGGAATCCGAGCCACAGCCTCTGGCCTGCGGGCCACCCTGGCAGCTACCTCACACCCATCCACCACCCTCTGGGCACAAGCCAGCATGACCTGGCCCTCAAGCAGCCGGGAGGAGCCAGGGATAGGGCTGGGGGCCCTGCCAGCAGAGGCCACCTGGAGCACGTCACATTCACCTGCCCGGAGCTGCCATGGGTCCTCAAACAGGCCTCGGCCAGGTGAGCTCTGGCCCACATGAGTGCAGCCTGTGCGGCTGGCCGCTGAGGTAGTCCTCAATTTCCGGGGTAGGCTGGAGTGGATGGTTTGTGCTGTGGCTGCTCCCTGAGAGGACCCAGCCCAGGGCTCCTTCCCCAGTTGGGCTGTGGCTGCTACAGCTGCCTCCCCGGAGTGAGGACTCCAGGCCTGGCCAGGGCTGTCAACTCTGTCCTGTTCCAGGCAGCCAGAGCTGCCATCCTCCAGGGAACCATCCAGGACAGGGGCGTCGGGCCCCGGAGGCAAGTTGGAACCACAGGTGGCAGAATCGTGGAGGCTGACCTCGCAGGTTGGGGGGCTGCCTGGGCCCTCAGGAGCAGGCGACGTGTAAGCATCGAACTCATCATTGATGCTGCTGATGATGCTGACCGGCCTGGACCCAGAGGCCAGGGCCTGCAGGGAACAGCTGCTGCCGAGGCTAGCCAGGCTGGTGGGCCGCCCAGGTCCCGCAAGCCCACCCAAGGACAGCTCCTCCACCACCATGAACACCAGCTCATCCTCGCCATTGAGCTCCACAGGCTGCTGCAGGGTCACTGTGGCCGTCAGCAGGCCGCGCTCCAGACGGTGACCACGAGCAGCTGGGTGGGGGCAGGCCACGTCTGGGAGCAGTGGGGACCGGCCCACCTGCCCGCTCATGCCTACAGGGGGCGTCCGCACCACGCAATTGGCACCCCCTCCCCCAGGCTCCTCTGGGACTCCATGGCCTTCGGGTTGAAGGGGCGGAGGGGCCGGGCTGGGCAGTGGCCTTCTGCCTCCACTCCCAGAGGCCTTGTCTGGGGTAGACAACTCAGGCCGGGTACCACTGTCTTCCCTCTGGTCACCCCAGGTATCAGTCTTGGAGGGCTCAGGGGCACCCTGGTGGGTGTCCAGGCCAGGGCTGCCTTGAGGAGTGCTGGCCGCCATCTGGGGGCCCATGGCCTTCCTGGGGGATGCAGCCTTAGGTGCCAAGGGCTTCCTGCTCCCTGGGGATGAGCTGGCCCTGGTCCTGTCAGGGCCACAGGGGGACCCCCAAGACCCCTCGCTGCCATCGATGCATTCCAGCCGCTCCTGCAGCTCGGCAAAGGTGCTGCAGCGGAAGTGGTCAGCATCTCGCGGACCCACTGAGGGCCGGCAGCGGCTCAGAGCAGGGATGATGGGCACAGAGTCTGGTGGGCCCTCATTGTCAGTGAGCTCACGGTCGGACAGTGCTGTGCCACCAGGCCCCACGTAGATGACGGTGTCACAGGACTGCTCACTGCTGGATGAGTAATCCGGGTCCCCAGGCAAGCGAGGCCCTGGGTGGTCAGGGTCCAGGCCCACAGCACGAGGCTGGAAGGGCCGCAGGTGTGGGGGACGGCGGGCACGGCCCTCCTCACAGGAGCTCTCCCCGCCCGAGGAGCTGGAAGCACACTGGGGGCAAAGCAGCTGTGAGCCCAGTCTCCCCTGCATCGCCTCTTCCCAACCCTCCCCAGGACTCCAGGCCGTGGGTCCTGTGATGACAGTGATGGTGGCAGCCACCAGCCAGGCCCTGCCACACACCAGGAACTGCACTGAGGGGCTCCTGTCAGCCATTTCACAGGGAGAACGGCATTGATCCGCATTTTGGGGGAGAGGGAAGATATGGTATGACCTGTGGCTGCAAGCTGGAACTCAGAGCCAGGCTGTCTGCCCTGAATGCCCACAAGGCCCCATGGGGGCCTAGAATGCCCCTGGTGAGCTGGTTGGTGCTGCTCTCTCCAGGCCCAGGGGCCAATGTGGGACAACAGGCTAGAGAGAGGCCAGGCCCCCACCAGCTCTCACTGCCAGCAGCTCTGACACTTCTGGGGACCTTGGGCTGGGGTCCCTGATCTCCAGGCAGGTTACATGACACAGCACTCCCCCACACACTCCTTACAGAGACTGGCAGGGAAGCCGGGGGAGGCCTTCGGGAAGGGTGAGCAGGAGATGGACCCACCTTGGCCTTCTTCCTGCGCAAACGGTGGATGCGGGCGGCCAGCTGCACTGTGCTTAGCGTCTCGGCGTGGTGGGCTGGCATGTCTGAGACATGGGCAATCATGGTGGTATGGCAACTGGTTGTGGCCAGGGCCTCCCGCAGCAACATGGTGAGTCTGTGGTCCCTGGGGGCCGAGGGGGCTCAGACACGGCATAGGAGGCTGGGCAAGGGGAGCCCCAGGTCAGGTCTGGCATCCCCTCTGTCCCTGCACCCTAGGCCACCTGCCACTAGCCTAGCTCTGGATCAGGCAGCCCTCAGGCAAGGAGGCCTCTCAGGCAGGGGAGCATGGGACCACCAGAGTGCCAAACCCTCAGGCATGAGGCCTGGCCTCTCCCCAGCCCACTGCCCAGCCCCCGACCAGTGCCCACCAATGTGCCCACACTCACCGATAGGGCACATGCTTGGCTCCATTGACCAGGGCCAAGATGATGCTGCCCAGGGCCGACAGGGACAGACACAGAGGTCCCCCAGCAGCCTCCCCACCCCTGCCAGGCACAGCCTCACAGCTCCCCAGGTCAATAAGGTGCAGGCGGCTTCGGCCTCCAGACACTGAAACCACAGGGCAGGTAGATGATGGAGCCCCAGGTCCAGACTCTGCCCCACAGCCCCATCCCAGGCCCAAGTAGGAGTCTTCAGAGGACACCCCCAGGGAACAATGGACAACAGGGCCCCTGGGCCTAGGTCTCAGCTGTGCACACACAACTGCTGGGCGCGGCACCTACTGGCTCCCCGGCCGCACTTCTCCACGCGGTACTGGTAGACGTGTAGTGTGAATAGCATGTGGGAACGGCGCCGGGCGTCCTCCCCACTGCCTGCACGGCTGGTGCTGCGGGCCGCCAGTGCTGCATCCAGGAAGAAGGCTGCTTTCTCTGCCGTGGGTGCCCTCAGCTCGCTCTGGCGCAGGAGCTGTAAGAAAGGAGAGGCGAGGGCACTTAAGCAGCTGGAGCCAAGTGCAAACCCACACCGTGCCCTCTACCCACCGCACACAGGGCTGCTGGCGCACCTGTGCCCCACATGTGGGGTCCTCCTGCAGGTGTACTCCTGGAGATTGGGTGTCCTGGGAGCTCCCAGAGGCCACCTCGGCCAGCAGGTCCCGCAGGCTCTGGTCCCGGCCGCACACCTCCACAGCCGAGACACGGACAGAGAAGCGGGTGCCCGTCCTCTCTTTGTGCTCCTCGATGAGCCTAAAGAGCCAGGAGATGGCGCAGGGCACGACGCCCAGGCTCTGGGGCGAGCTGTCCCTGCCGATCATGGTGTACGACTTGCCTAAAGATGGCACAGGCACATCAGCCCTGCACTTCACAGGGCAAACCCACAAACAGCCACACATTGGGACTGACCACCCAGCCCTGCCCAGGGGCCTCAGGGCCTGCCTGGGGCTTCCGCTAGTCCAGACTACATTCTGGCTCTGCAGGGCTTCAGCTTTCTCTCCAGCAGCCCCGACCCCTATGCCTATCTACTGCCCACATGAACACCCGACCTCCTCCCCACCCGGAGTTGAGCCCAGAGACTGCAGCAGTGAGGATGGGAGTGGGGGTTATCAGCGATTCCTCTAGGGAAGGGCACTCACCAAGGCTCATGTGGCCGAAAGAAAAAATACAGCCATCAGCCCCACTGACCACAGACTGGAGCACGTCAGCTAAGGTCCCCGAGCAGATTTCAGCCTAAGAGGGCACACAGAATGAGGCCAGACCCAGGACTACAGACTGTGGTCACCTGCCTTCCACCATGTCTATGAACCTAAAACCTGTCTGTCCCTGTCACATGCAGGCAATCAGCCCATGGGAGGCTTGACTGGCACACACGGGGCCAAAGACACATCTCTTACATGTGGCACACTGCACACAGACAGCACAGAGCGTGCAGGAACCTGACACATTGCACACAGATGGCACAGAGTGTGCAGGAACCAGACACACTGCACACAGA